AGGCCCACATTCCGGTTGAGGCCTTCCTTGGCCAGCTCTGTGTGTGTGTGTGTGTGTGTGTGTGTGTGTGTGTGTGTGTGTGTCTGCGCCCGCCTGCCCACTTGCTCATGGCAACCTCACCCAACCTGGTGCCTTCCAGATGTGTTGGACCACAGAGCTGTCTGGGGATGATGGGGGTTGTAATTCAATGCGCCTGGTGGGCACCCTTGTTGTGGCACAGTGTGGTCGCCAGGTGATCAACAGCTGATGCCCTGGGGTACCAGTGCCCGATGTGGAGCCCAGGAAGTGGGCCCTTGCGATGGCACCGAAGACGGGCAGAGGGAGGTTGGCGGCTCAGGAGCCCAGAACGGCTTTCAGGCCGGCCAGCCTTTCTGCAAGGGCTCCGATCTCCGCCTGGCTCTCAAAGGGCAGGATGGGCCCACCGCTCCCCCCTCCCCAGCCCCCTCCCTTCACTTCCGGCTTGTGGGCTCACAGGTATGATCTGAACCCTGCACCCATACTTGCACGGAGCCAAGGAGCCCTGGCACCAGCTAGGAAGGGGCGCAGAGGGGAACCCAGGCTCTAGAGAGACAGAGAGGGAGAAGGAGAGAGGATATCAAACTCCTCTCTCTTCCAACGGCTTGCCCCAAGATTTCTCCCATCCCTTGGAGATCCGGGAACATCTAGATGGCATCCCAAGACCTTCCCCTATGCGGGGGGGGGGGAGGCTATCCTAAACGCAAACAGGTGGGGCAGTTTGGGGGATTCTAGTCCAGCAAAGAGGTCAGAGGACAAGGCTGGGTTAAGCACACCAGCAAAAGAATGCATGTTCCCCAAGGAGATGCACGGGTGGGGGGGTGCTTGGGGGGAGAGAAAGAGAGGTAGATTATTAGCCAGCCCTCTCTGCCCTGGCTGCTCTGGAGGGAGGGGGCCATGTGGCCTGAACCATCCCAGCTATGAGGAAATGAACACCAGCAGTCTGTTGCTGGGAATCTCCCCCCTGCCTGGCAGCAAAGCAATCCACCTTCCCTTCTTTGTTTTGAAAGAGCTCAAATTAAGTCCCCATGAACGAGCAACTCAAAGCAAGCTCAGCCTTGCCGTCCCGCCCCGTCCCGTCCCGTCCCCTGGAGAATGTGCGCAAACCTGGAGAACACCCCCAAGCCTGTGACTAGACGGGGGTGGGTGGGTTAAAAAAAGGGTGTGGACGGTGGCGGATGGGACCTTTCCCGCCCCCCAGGCACAAATTGTACCTTCTCCAGAGAATCATATCCCTCCAAGCAAGCCAGCCGGGCCAGGATTCTGCTGGGGCTAGCACATTCTGCAAGCTTTTCAGCTCAAAATAATAATAATAATAATAAAGGTGACTCTTCAAACCCTGCCATGCCCCGGGTGCCCTCTCTCGCCTCCTAGTCCTCAAGAGCAGTTGAGCCCCAGGGACTGGACGGATCCTGGCCAAGAAAAAAGCCTCTTGGAAAGCCTCCAGCGATCCTCTTGAGGGTGAGGCCGGATTGCAGCCACCGAAACAGCACAAAGTGGCCCTTTCTGTTTGCTGTTGGTTTTGGCTCCATCCTTCATTCCACCTGTTCTGAAGTAGCCTAAAGAATAGCTTGGTGGGTGCTCAGGGGCATCCTTGGAATGGTTCTGATTTTATTTCAGGTGGCCTCAGAGGCATCCAGCCGGAGCGAGAATTGAACCCGGAGCTTCCCTCTCCTGCTCAGTCACTCTATGCTTTGCTCGCTTGCTATGCTTTAGATGTTTTTTTTTAAAGTCTGAAAATACGAGCCCTTCTGGTAAATGACGAGATATCATAAAATAATCAAAATTTGAGGGCCCGAGGGTACCGGAAGTCTGCGGTTAAAGCCCCCCTTGGCGGATGGCCATCCGTCCCCTGTGCCAGGACCTCCAGTGGCGGTGAATACACCTCCTTCCAAGTCGGCCCATTCCTACTTTCAGAAAAGGTCTTCCCAAAGCTTGTCTTATAATTGAAACTGCTTAGTTCAGGGCCCCGGTCCCTAGAGCTGCAGGAAACAAGCCCGCTCGTATCTTCCGTTGGGTTCTTGTCCCGCAGCTCATACAACATAATGGACTCAAGCTACAGGAAGCCAGATCTGGGCTGGATATCAGGGGGGAAAAACTCCTGTTGTACACAGTATGACAATGGAAGTCATTACCCGGTAGCGAGCGCTCCGACACTGGAGGCATTCAGGAGAGACCTGGACAGCCCTCTGGCCGATCGGCTTTGATTTGGATCCGTGCCTCGAGCAGGAGGTTGGACTCGATGGCTTTACGACGGGCCCCTTCCGACTCCTTTATTCTATGGTTCTATGATTAGTGGGACGTGGTGGCGCTGTGGATTAAACCGCAGAAGCCTCTGCACTGCAAGGTGAGAAGACCAGATGTCATGAGATCGAATCCACGCGACGGAGCGAGCTCCCGTCGCTTGTCCCAACTCCTGCCAACCGAACGTTCAAAAGCATGTAAAAATGCGAGTAGATAAATAGGTACCACCTCGGTGGGAAGGTCACGGCGTTCCGTGTCTAGTTGCACTGGCCACGTGACCACGGAAACGGTCTTCGGACAAACGTTGGCTCTATGGCTTGGAGACGGGGACGAGCGCCGTGCCCCAGAGTTGGACACGACTTTGACTCAAGATCAAGGGGAACCTTTACCTATGATTAGTGGGAACGGTGACTTTTTCTGTGTTGCAGCCTAACCAAAACCTGGAGGTACCCCTGCCGTAACTAGGTAGAGTCGGCACAACCGACAGGCGCAGCCACTCCTGGCTCTCTGGAAAATATTCCGGTCTGGCAGGTGTGTTTCTCAATCCCCGTTCATCTCACAGGGCCATCAACCTTCCAGGTGCAGGCCTTAAAAAACAAAACAAAAGCCAAACCAGGGGAGGATGATCTTCCAGAAAAGGGGCCCTTTGTGAAACAGCTGTGTTTCCTCCACTGAGGCCATGTGGCCACACGATGGGGGTTTCCTGCTCTTCTCCCCATGCCGTCACCGGAAGACCAAGACCAGCGTCCTTCTCCCAGGGGGGGGGGGGAGGCTCCTGGGTTCTAATGCTAACCCAGAAAAAGTAAGAGAAAGCGGCGGCTGCAGGATTCCCAGTGAAGGGATAGATGGGTTTCGTTCCTAGCACTCTGAAAGGATAAAGGATGTGCCCAGGATGTTCTTTCTGAAAGGAAAGAGGTTTTGTGGTGAAATCCCGGACTGGTTCAAGGAAGGAATCCAGCAGGAGTAACTCAAGCCCTTGTGTACACACAGCTTTTAAACCTCCTCCGTCTTCCTGCTCTTTTGTTTTATTTGGTGAGCCTGACGGCTTTCGTGAGGCCAAAATAAGTTTTTGCAATCCCAGCTTCTGGATAGAAACTCCACATTGCCTAAAATGTCTGGTTTTGATTCTTGTAGGGACACCTTTCGGCTTTTGGTGTGAACGTTTGTCGTCATGGGTTTCAAAAGTTCAGGCACCCTGCCTTGATTTCCTCAGAGCACATGCTGTTTCCTCAAGAAATCTGTTTTTTAAAAAAAGACACAAATGGAAAAAAAATGTTTTAAAGCATGGGCAGAGTAGCTAGCTCCCTTTCTTTGACAAATACCTTGACTCGTTCTTCCCCCACCCCTCCCATAATCTTAAGAAATAACATCTTTTCCCCTGTGCAATTTCTGGTTGACAGGGAAAAATAATTAAACCCGAAATACCTGTCCCACAAACTTTCCTGGTGCCACAACATCATACAGTATTCCTCTGTCCTGGAACCTGCTTTGGGCAACCAGATTCTGGCTGTTAATACCTTAATAAGTATTAATGGTGTGTTTCTGTTTGCTGTTATGTACCATCAAGTCGCCTCCGACTTACAGTGACCCAATGAATGAATTATCTCCAAAATGTTCTGTCCTTAATAGTCTTGCTCGGTGCTTATAAACTCAAGCCTGTGGCTTCCTTGAGGGAATCCATCCATCTCGTATTGGGGTCTTCCTCTTCTCCTGCTGAAACATTGATTTCCGAGCATGATGGTCTTTTCCAGAGAATCCTGCCTTCTCAGGATGTGACCAAAAGTAGGACAGCTTCAGTTTTGTCCTTTTGGCCTCTAGAAAGAATTCAGGCTTTGTTTGCTCTAAGACCCCCTGGTTTGTCTTTCTGGTAGTTCAGAGCGTCCACACAGCTCTCCTCCAAATCCGTTTTTTCCCTCCTTGTCAGCTTTGTTTTCTGTTCTGCTTCCACACTCCTCACATAAGCGTAGATGATTTCAGTCTTGGCCTCCAGGAACGCATCTTTACATTTGCTGAACGACAACATTTTTATTATATTCTCCTGTATTTCTTTGATCCTTTTCTGCTCACCCCAACCCCCAAATTGATTTACAGTGCACAGATTAAAATTTGAAAAGAAAATAAAATAGATTCAAAGGCTGCTGTCCTGCCAAAGATTCGTCCAGGCCTGAAGGGGAGATGAAAGGACCCAGTTCTGAAAATATTTTTTCCCCATGGGGGGGGTCATCCTCACAGAGTTTGCAGAGGATAAAATGACCATAAATGTGGTTTTTTTAAAAGGAGAAAGGCTTGCCCTAATTCAAGAGAAGAGTCACCACCAAAGCTGGGGAAAGTCCCTCCCCAATGTTGTTTTTTTAAGTGACACACCCCAGCATCTCCCCAGTCATGCTGGCTGGCTGGCTGGCTGGGGGCTCTGGGAGATGTAGTCCATAAAAGGAGCTGCTCCCTCACCACCGTCTTCCTACTACTATTCTTCTTCCTCTTACTCATGGCCTTGGGGGGGGGGAGTGATGTAAAAGTGGAACGTCCACTGCAGACGGGGATGCAACCTGGTTGAGCAAGTCAGGAGCCCCAGAGAGAGTGTGTCTCATTCATTTCCTCCCTGGGTGTGGATTGCCTGCCCGCCTGTCCTGTCCCGGGGGCTCCTGCCCTCCTCTGTGGTTGCCTCTACCTAGGAGAGCCCTCGTCTCGTGCCAAGCGCTGCCTCTCCTCCTCTCTCTCTCTCTCTCTCTCTTTCTATCAAGGTGTGAGATCTGCAGCCCGGGTTCTGTGGAATGGTTAACCTGAGGCCGTCTTCCCCCTGAGCCAATCATCGGAGCCGGCCCAGCGGAGCCGCGGAGAGACTAAAGTGCCCGGACACACCTGGCCGCAGCCTCTTCTGGCGAAGCCGCCTTTCCTGGCAACAGCAGCACCACCGCCGGCGGCAGCAGCAGCAGCAGCAACAGGGACTCCTGACTCTGCCCAGAGAGCCCACCTGGCAGGATTCCAGCCCGTCCCCCATCATGGTCTTCTTGGCTTGGGCCCCCTTCGCTCTGATGGTCTGCCTGGCAGGGACCCCGGCCGTGCGAGGCCACAGCGCCGGCGAGCGGAGCCCGGAGGAGGCGGCAGCAGTGGCGGAGATGGGAGCCCTCCTGTCGTCGACCCAAGCAGGCGCTCTGTCCTGGGGCTCCGTGGAGGCCCTGTTAAATATTGCGACGGCTCGTGTGCAGTGCCCGACAGTGCCGTGTGAAAAGGTAAAGAGAGGGTGCAATCGCCTGGATCTCCCAGGGGGGTTGCTGGCTGGGTCAAACTCCAGCGCTGGGTTCAAAGGGCCCCGAGGTGTGAAGGGAAGAAGCATCTCTGACTGCGCGCACGCCGTCGGCCACAGACACTTTGCGTGCAGGCAGGCTGAGGATGGGAAAGGGCCCCAGAGAAGCAGGAGGGAGGCAAGCCCTCGGCGGGGATCACCCACAGGCCCTCTTCTCTGCTTCCTCGGTTTGCCTTTAAGTCCGCCTGCCCTCCTGCTGTATTGGGATGAAAGCCCCATCTTCCCCAGGCAGCACCCCACCCCCCCGGGTGGGAGTTGTAGCCTGTGAGGACACCAGGCAGGGCAAAGCTGCTTTTGGGAAAGCTCCTGTTTGTTTGTTCTTTTACAGCAGAATCCCCCACCCAAGCATAACCATGGGGGTTGCTAGTAGGGGATTCTGGGATTTGTAGTCCAGGAAGAGAGGCCCTTCCCTGAGCTCTGCTTTAAAACCACCGCCACCGTTAGCATAAGTTCCTTGTGTTGTACCTCTGAGGTTTTCTGCCTCCTCTCCTAAGAGGGATTCCTAAGCGTGGCTAAGGAGGTACAGTACATGCAAGCGTGAGTCAGTTTGTGTTCGTGTATTCATGTCTCTTTTCCTAAGGCAGACAAGTAATTTCATGCTCAGAAGTGCAAACTTGCAACAATCACAGCCCACAGGCTTCCCTCCGCGGTGTGGCTGATTTCATGCCCTTAATAACAGGTTGGAGAACAATGCCGTTTGGCAACCATCCTTCCACCGAAGTCAGACAGCGCCGTTCTTAGAACCAGCTGAGAAACGGCTCAGGGGGAAGGAGCTAAAAAGTGGTCGGCAGCAGGAGGAGGAGAAGGAGGAGGCGGTGGCAGAACCCCACCCCCCCCGGGTGGGTGTCACTGGGTTTTGTCCATGAAATTGTTGTGGGGGGGGATAAGAAACTGGATGACTGACTCATCCAGAGCTGGAAAAGTGACGGTCGGGGATTTCAACATGCCGGGTCCCTCGCAAGCGTGGCCACTGGCTGTGTTGTCTCGGGATCTGAGGAGCTGTTCTTCCAAAAAAGTGAATTTGGCAAAGTTAAAGGGGAAAGTGGTGGGGAAGTGGTGAGAATAAAAAGGCACTGGCCCTCTAAGGACTCCACCAGATTGTTTCAAAGGGAGCTTTTGTGTATCAGACCCACTTCTTCAGCCAAAAAGAGGGCAAATATCACGTATTTCAAATATTCAAAAAAGTAAGCTTCCATGCTTGACTCCTGTCCTGCCTACGCACAGCTATGCAAAAAGACAACAACACAGAGCGGGGTGAAAATACAGGCTTCTCTCTGCCCTTCCAGGTTTTGTTGCAAGGCTGTGAGCAAAAAGCCGAGATATGATCTGTGCCGTTGGCGACACAAACAGAGTACGAGGATGGCATTTATCTCTGACGCATGAGCAAGAAAAAACGAAAATCTGATTTTGCAAGAGCTGGCCAGTTAAAGCCATCTTTGCATTCTCTGGTGCAGGTTTTTGGGGCGGGGGTGGTTCCAGTGTGGTCAGCTGGCGGCAGAGGGAAAAGGGATAATGCATGAGATCAGAACAGGTGTTGAACCTTTTTTTAAAGCTGGTGCCCCCCGTCTTGGTCTGGAGGAACGTCCCTCTTTTGAATCATTGCTTTTTGTTTTATATCAGACCAAGAGAAAAAACAAAAAAACGCCACAAACCCAAGACAGAAAAAAAAAAAACAGGTTTTGGCATCTGCAAGACTTAAGCATTGTCTTTTAAGGTGGCATGTCCCAGGGACGTGGTGGCGCTGCGGGCTAACCTGCAGAAGCCTGTGCTGCAGGGTCAGAAGACCAAGCAGTTGTAAGATCGAATCCACGAGACGGAGTGAGCGCCCGTCGCTTGTCCCAGCTCCTTGCCAACCTAGCGGTTCGAAAGCATGCAAATGCAAGTAGATAAATAGGGACCACTTCGGTGGGAAGGTAACAGCATTCTGTGTCTAAGTCGCACTGGCCATGTGACCATGGAAGATTGTCTTTGGACAAAACGCTGGCTTTCTGGGGGTTGTAGTCCAAGAACATCTGGAGGGCCAAGGTTGGGGACCCCAGTTCTAAGGGATGCTTAGCCTGAGGCTCCGGCCCTAGGGAAGCCGGTTGCCAGCTGCCCAGATTTTTCTTACAACCCAGACTGGTCTGTTCCTCTTTGGTGAGAATCTCTTGAGGATGCAACGATGGATCATAGAAATCGCAGAAAAGTGACGTTGGAAGGGGCCTACAAGGCCATCCAGTCTAACCCCCTGCTCAAGGCAGGCATACAATCAAAGCAGATCTGCCAGGTGATTGTCTACGTTTCTCTTGAGTGCCCCCAGCGTTGGAGTGCTCACCACCTCCTGAGGTCACTGGTTTCCCTGTTGCTCTAACAGTTAGGAAGTTTTTCCTGATATTCCACCGAAATCTGGCTTCTTTTAACTTGAGCCCAATGTTGCGTGTCCTTCACTCTGGGATGATAGAGAACAGAAGACTGTCTCTTGCTATGATGTCTGCAGATAAAGCTGATCTGGTGGTGGGGTCTTGTCAATTTTTGGGTTTGTTTTTTTAAGTTGCAATTTGGTTTCATCCAATTCCCCCCTTTTATTTTTTAAGGAGAAAGGTGGGATAAAAATATTTTAAATCAATCAGTCGGTCCTGTAGTTACAGAGTCAGTGCCTGGCCTTAGAGAAGGCTCTCATCATCTCCCACCACCCGCACCCCCACCCCACCCCCACCCAGAGGGTGCTCTCTCCCTCTGAGCCCTGCGTGTGCCATTTCTGGTCAGTCACTCTCTTCCCCTGCCTTGCAGGGGTGGCGGTACCTACGGTCCTCTCGACAGGGTTCTGAGCACTACCGAATGTGCTACCAAAATGCTACTTAATACCGATCCCCCTTCATTCTGGAGGGAGATTTGGTACAAAAGTCAGGAAAAGTCACATTTTTAAGCAGTTCCCTTAAAATCGCCTAGGAGTGGGTCTGGGGCACCGTCATCTGAGAATCTGGAAACGAGTGGCTTGGACTGAAACTTTGTCGAGATTAGAGCAGGTTCACTAAAACCGTGAATTTCAGTTTAACACATTGTGCATGACGATGCATCGAGGAACAACGAAATATTGGGTCAAGTTTTTGATCTGACCTGGACCGAGAAAAGCACGTATGAACTCCTGGACAGCTCCGCGGTTCAGATCTTTGGCTGCAGAGCCAGAGGTTGGGCGTTTGGTTCCCCAGCTCCTCCAGACCCCCAGCCAGCCTCCGGCTTCACCTTGTTTCCCCCCCACACACACACACCCTGCAGCTCTGGACTGGATGTTAGGCAAGCCATCTGGGCAACACACAACCCTTGATTATTGTGACTTTTGTTGTTTGCTGTCGGTGTTTGGGCTCGCCTTCGTATTCCTGTCATTTTGATGTTATAAATGTAATGTTTCTTGGGAAAAGGCACTTTTCGCTTGTCCCAGTTCCTGCCAACCTAGCCGTTTAAAAGCATGTAAAAATGCGAGTAGATAAATAGGTACCACCACGGTGGGAAGGTCACGGCGTTCCGTGTCTAGTTGTGCTGGCCACGTGACCACAGAAACTGTCTGCGGACAAAACGCTGGCTCTGCAGCTTGGAGACGGGGATGAGGGCCGCGCCCTAGAGTTGGACACGACTGAACTAAATGTCAAAACGAACCTTTACCTTTACCTTACCTGCACCAGGAGATGGTCTTCTGTGTTTAAGAGTGTCCTCATAAATCTTGAAGCTACCCATCCCATTTCAACCCTTTCATCCTGGATGGCAAAGCCAGGACCTCTCGGTTCCGCCAGTAGGATCGTTCCCCTACTTGGCTTGGTCACATCGGCTTCCTGAGTCTGAAAAAGTTTAGCTTTCCCACTGGGGCACAAGCCGTGGTTCGATAGGGGAACAGGCTGCCGAAGGGGGTTCGACGACGCCAACCACAGGTCTGTAGCTGGTGGGCCCACCTTATGGCAGGATAAGGACTGGCCTTCCAGCCCCATCTTTTGCCCCTGACGTTGGGCCGGGGATTGGAGTGGCTCCTGACCTGGTGGTTCCCTTCTTTTGGGATCCCAGCTGTCAGAATCTCGTGGACCGCGTGGAGTCGGTGGCCTTTGCAAGAGGCGACTTCCAGTCCCAGAGGCTCCTTTCTGGGGGCGGGGGGGGAGGAGAGGCAGCCCTGAACATTCCCACGCACGAGCGCAGCTTGTTTTCACCCAGGGCGTTTGGGCACGGCTTCCCCCCAGGGCCGAGGTCTGCTGCCCCCGTTGTGCTTTGGAAGAAACAGACCGCAGGCATCAGAACGCCTGGAGGCTGGGTGTGGGCCCCCAGGAGATATTTGAAGTATTGCAGAAGAGCCGGAAAAACCTCTGGTCTTGTTGGCAGGGGGCCAGTTGGGGGGCAAAAGAACCCCGAAAAAAAATCCTGTCCTTCTCTGGAGGGCTGTCTTTTTTAGCTTCAGTCGAAGGGCTGCTCTCCTCGCTTTCACCCTTGGGAATGATCATCTAGCTAGCTTCCCCCTTCACTATCCTCTCCCATATCCCTCCAGTTTTGTTATTACAGCCAGCCACTTGGTGTGAGGGTCAAGTTAGTTCTGACCTAGGGTGAACCACCACCCCCCAGTTGGGTTTTCAAAGTCTGCAGGATTTTTAAGGAGTGGTTTTACCAGTGCCCACCACATTGGGAGCTTCTGCAGCTGAGTAAGGATTTGAACCCAGAGTCCTGAGTCCTACACCAACATGTTGCCTGCTACACAGACTCAAGATAGTGTTAGCTGTAATAACTTCAGAGGCGTCACTGCCAATGTGCTGTGACAGTGAGAGTGTCGGGCTGCTATGCCGCCTGCGGTTTGAATCCTGGCTCAGCCATGCAAACTTGCGGGAGGGGAGGGGGGGCTGGCAAAACCATTCCTTCATTATCTCACAGACCTTGGAAACCTTATGAGGCTCATTACAAGTTGGATGAAATTTG